ATGCGGCAAGGCCGGACATAATGCAAGGACCTGTCAGGTAGTTATTGAGATATCTGGGGAAGAGTATAGCGAATAGTTTTAATTAATTAGCTAGTTTGTGGTGGTTTTATACCAATATAAAGCCAAATGGTTGAGATTTCTGGTCAGCATACTTGTCCGGTCAGCATGCCTATCAACCACGTTAATATAAAATAATATAACTAAAAACACCCTCCATCAGGGCACTTCATACAGTTGAACCCCGATTTAGGTTTTGTGACCCCACAATCCAGCAATAAAGGCAGCTGAAGCCTCTTTCGAAACATTGCCACGAATGACCGAAGCGTCCTTTCCTAGACAAATATCTTCCATGACTGATCTTTGACCCAGCGTGCTCGGGTTATCGAAACCAAGATCGCCCTCGTAATACGTCAGGTTGTCGCCGGCCTTTAGATTCTTAGTCACAAATCGTTCTATCTCAGCCTCTAACTCCGTCGGATTCTTTCTTGCTGTAGCGTTCTCGATAGCAGCTCTATCGTCATCGGCTAAGTGAATAAATTCTTCACTTTCTCCAGCAGGTAGCAGAGATCGGTCTTCTCAAACGCGCCTGATCCGGAGACCTTCGCCAAGCACCGCTTTCACTCTCTGGTCAACCTGAGTTAAAGTGCCGCAAGCGACTTGAAATCCATCCCGGATGTTACCAGCCATACCAACGTTGACTACCAAAATACGGACTGTCAGGAATCCCTGGTGGAGATCAATCCGACGCAAAATATCGCTTATTCCTTCACTGTCTCGGTCATGATCAAGCACCGCACGTGCATATCTCTTGACCTTATTTTTCTTTGCCCTCTCTTGCAGTTTTTCATGAACTTCTTGGAGTTGTTCGAGGGTGACTTTCAGCCTTGCAACTTCATCCCCGACAATTTTAACTTGAAGGTCAGGTTGTTCTCGGACAAGCTCCAGAATCTCTTGAATAGCTTCCAGATTACCCCCAAGGTTCAAGACGACTTGCGGAGCCTCATGATACGCGTGGTTCACTTCGCGTATGGTCGTGATAACCTTGAGAGAAAAGTCAAGGAGACTCACAATGGAGCTGGCGGCGCTGATGACTTCCTAAATCAGCGTCAACTCGTGTTTCACCACTTAGTTAGAACTTGGAAATCAAGCATACCATGCTGATGATATCCAGTACGAATTTGACGACCAGTCTGTTGGTTTTGGAATGGGGGAGTTGGGTTTCGGGTCTGGTTGGGAATGGTAGATGCCTAAATCCCTCAAGCCATCTGATTGGTCACGCAATGCATGAAGTTGAAAGTCAGCGCCGACTGCCAAGCCGGATTTGCGCAGATTCGGATGCTGACGAGTAAGCAATTTCATTCAATTCTGTATAATTACATATAATGAAGTATTCGGGCAATGCTGAGTGAGGGGTTTCTTCTCCTCAGCAGTAACATCCAGTGATTGCTTTACTCTATAAGTAAAAGCTGTCGAAGTTGCGGGTGTCTGGAGACGGGAATCTTCAATCGAACTTCCTACACATCATCCCATGCAAGACTGGCTGCCTTCTGGTCCCTCCTCTAATGAGGATGAGGGCTTACCGTCATCGAAACGACGCAAGTCAATCTCTTCACCATCTCACGACTTCGTTCTGACCGGTATCAACTTTGGCAATCATGCGCGATTGCATCAAGGGAATATCAACATAGAAACGGTTGAAAATGTTGTTCTGGAGCAACGTGAGTTGAAACCACAAATTCTGAGGTCACGACTAGGCGTACTGATCATGACTGATGCGCGCAACGTTTAGTTACTCCCAGTGACAACGTGATTGGTGAAATACTTCGATTATTACCACCCAAACTTGACCAAGATCTCAGTATCCTATGGAAGGACTGGTACGATAAACAGTGCGTCGATGCATTTCGTTGGCTCTGGAGTGAGCCCCGCATAAACCATGCAATACATAATGGGCAAAGAATTTTGAACATTGTTGATGAGACTCAGTCAGCTCTTTACCCTGCCTTCTTAGCAATCACATCCGAGCTTTGGAATCGCATCTGTTCGAAAGACAACAGAACGACTATTTGTTACAGTTCCAGCAGCGTTTGGCACAACATCCACTTCGAAGGAGTTTTACAGAGTTTACTCGCATCATTGGTGTCACAATATGACCTGGTCGATGAGTTGAGGATTATTCACTCACAAATGCAAAATCGTTCATTCAACGCACTTTCAATGGCTGATAGGCTAATTCAGTTGCTTTTTGCTCTTCTGCGGCAACGAAAATCTTCTCGATGCTTTGTTTTACTCGAATATTTGGAGAGGTTCGATTTGGAGTATCAGAGACGCATTATCGACCTAATCAATACTGAAGCAGCTGACCTTGAGGTCACATGGGTACTGTTTTCAGATACTGACTGCACTTCCTTTTTATGTAGTACGACTGCATCGTTTATTCTCACCTTTGATCAAGCCTTCGAAGGTCTGCAACTAAATGACGTGTTTAATACCATCAGGTCATGTCAGAATTTGCTGAGTGAAATCCATACGAAGGCGGACCGATTTCCTGAGCTACAGTACACTCAGCTGGGTCGAACATGGCTCCAGTCCCGGAAATCTTCAATCCTCGTCTGCCAAAGAATGGAGGCAGATCTAAAGACAGCCGAACCTGCACATTTACTGAACAGTCTCGATATATCAAAGTTACTGTCCGAATTTCAACATCAACATTATACGTGCGCTTATGTTTCTTTGAACAATAGACCACAATCTTTCGAATTTACACAACACCACATCTACGCCGACATCTTTTTCCAAGTTGCCAACGGTATCCAGAATAATAAAATTCTCCAAGAGAGACTGTTGAAACTGGCTGCTAGAGACAGGGCTAGGCTTGTCTCAGCTACCAAGGGAAACCCTTCAGTCAATGGATGGCCCGACTTGTTTACCAAGTTCTCCACGTTTCCAAGGCACAATAATCAACTCGTCTTTCTACGGCTTTCTGCAAGGTTTCCTTTAGACTTCATCACTCATATCTCGCAGTTGGGATTCGAGTGGAAGGTGTTGGCTTCAATTTCTTCCGCAGATCACGGAGCTATCTCAGACCGTTCCATTCTCCCTATCGTCAGCCTTGACAGCGAGTACAATGGTAAGATACCTATTTCAATCATATAACCGCCTCCAGGTGACCTTTTGATGGATCCCACTGATCCAAAGGTTTACAGAATGCCTTGCATCTCTTGCATTTCAAGGAATGGGTGAGGTTTGGCATCAGATTCGAGATGCTTTGCCCGGAAGCAACGAATGGATCTGGTCCAACAGGACATTTCGTAAGTGGTATGAAACTTCTGGATTGCTATGGATATCTGGCACGCCGGGAAGTGGCAAGTCTGTTCTATGTAAGACGATCTTGCGCAGTTTCACTTCTCGGGTGCTAGATTTCACCCATGTTCACGCTTGGTTTTATAGCGCCAGGGGGCTGGAAAGGGGAACTTTGCACTCATACATGCTGAGAGCCATCTTGCGATCAATTCTTGAACGAAACCCCCAAGCTTTCAAATCATTCAAGAACCTTTATCGCGCTCGCGTGCAGACTGAACATCATGTCTCCTGGATTGATGAAGATTGCCATGTCCTTGCCGAGGCCCTACGAGCAATCGCCGTAAACGACACAACTCCACGTACTATCTTGATTCTAGATGGGCTTGACGAGTTTCTTGGGAACCAATCAGATCCGTATACAGTCCAGGAGTTCCTGGAGCTGCTTTCCTCCCTGGCATATACCAAGAACAGCCACATATGGCTAATCGCTTGCAGTCGCCCAGTCCCCGAATTTCGGTCTGAGTTTATGGAGTGTTTCCATATATCTATTCACGAGAACAACTGTGAGGATGTTTCAATCTTTATTGAAAATGGAATTTCGAAGCTGCGAGCAGCATGGCCTCGACGTGAAAAGAAGCGAGGTGGTAAATCGAGGCACTTGAACGCCTTCGCTCAACCGTTGCCTATACAGCCAGAAAGACTGAGCTCTCAAGAAGAGTTGGAACTTGAAACGTTAAGACAATACTTGACTTCACGAAGTTCGGGGTCGATCATCTGGATAAAGCTTGTCCTTTCTGAAGTGGAACTTCTAATTCGACGAAAAGAAGGATTCACTCTTGAACATCTTCGGGAGAAGGTCCAGTCATTACCCCGAGATATCCACAACCTTTATTGTGAGATAATCACTCAGTTAGGACTAGACCACAATTCAGAAAAAGCAAGGATGGCAGAAAAGATATTTTTATGGGTGACAGGCTCTCGTGGATGGGGCATTTTGAAACTTCAGGAACTTCGAGAGGCACTGGCGATACCAGGAAACTACCAACAGTGCACTACCATGGCCGCTTTCGATAATCTACAGGTTAATTGCCATCAAATTGGAGACGACTGGGATTATTTCTATTCCATTATCTACTCTCACTGCGGAGGCCTCGTTGAATTTATGCCACCAGTGCGACTTGATAACGCGACTACGATTACACTTGAGGAGATGAGCGGGGATTGGACTGTCCAGCTGGTCCACCACACTGCAAAGTCATTCCTTGAGTCCAAAAACAAGCCTTCGCAACTGCGAATCGTCGACGCAGATGCTGTTCAGTTCGTTGCCACACAATCGGCATGGTACTTGACTCTTATCTTCCCGCCAGGGTGTTCGCGAGACATCTTTAATATGACTGATGACGATATTGACGGGGCAACACTGTCTACTGGCTCATACATGTCAACTACACTCGGTTGGGCAGAATGTTTGAAAGGCTCGTCGTCGCCTCAGTCCAGCTTGAATATGCCAGTCTTGGTAAAACAGAACTTATGGAGGCTGATGCACCGTCTCAACTCAGCACCTCTACTTCTCTTTGTGCTGAACGTTTTGAGGAACAATAATGCCAGTACAATATGGTCTTTAGCAAAAGAGACACCTGACTTCCTCATCTGGTGGCTCCGGTATCTTCAAGTTCCGTCCGAAAATGAAAGAACCGTCAGTGGTCTTTCGGAATACTTGTGCAGCCCTGGCAATATGCGCATTCTTTCCATTTTGCTTCAGCTCAGAGAGATTCTGGCCGAAGCTTCAACTTCAGTTCATGACATCTCGAGTGGTCCATTATACTATACACAAGATGAATCTTCATTCCTCTCTTGGCCTTGGCACGACCTGGACAGGTTCTTGACAGAACTTCCTTCTTGGACGGCTGGTCTACATTATCCAAGTTACAGTGAATGCAATCTTGCGATTACTACGGAAAACGTGGATGATGCGAAATGGGGCGATCTGTGGAACGGTAGGGTTATAAGAGAAGCTCGAGACTTATGGAGCTCCCCGACCCCAAGTGAACCCCTCAATTCGTCAGACGAACATACACCCAGTCCGTTAGACGATCTTACACTACTCGGAAGTATATCCTCTTATGATCGCCAACGAGAGTTTGAGGTTGCTTGTTGGGTTAATGAGGCCCCATTTGTTTTGGACAGATTTTGAAACGGCGCCAACTAAGACTTTTGGTCAGGACATACAAAATGTAGAACAAATCGAGTACCATCGACATTATCGTGTCCATCGAGAAGAAAGCCGGTTGCCCAGCCGGGGAATGGGCTGCTCCTATGCCAACCATCAGACCAAACCGAATAGACCCGAAAGTAGCAAGCTTCTGTTGTGATACCGATGCAGCAGCCGCGGTCCCTGTTGTTTGCGATAAAAGACAGACAATGACAACATTATGATCTCCTACTCGGCCTAGGACATATATATTGTTGTCCTTTGATCTTGCCGGCAATGCTTGATGTTGTTCATCGAGCATAGCCTTCGCAGCCGCCAACTCTGTAGGAAGCGCGCATATCCAACCCACGGTATAGTCTCCATAGTCGAAAATGGCCTTGTCGGTCCACTGCTGAAGAGGTAACGTTATATCCGGCTTCAACGAGCGAGTTAGGTAGGTCCCACCGAGTTTGTGGATTGCGGGGCATCTGTATCAGTATTTTCGATATCTATCAGAGGCGCAGTATTATTTTGACTTGGCATTGCGGGACGGTATAAGGTTGCTTTTTTTTTTTTCTTTTTTTGTGTGTGTGTGTGTCTGGCACTTGCAATTTCCGTCAAAAAATATAGACAGAGGCGAGCTATTCAAGGATTTTTCCTTACCAATGATGATATGAAGTTAGTAGACTCGCGTGGCTGTTAAAAGCATGTCAGCAAAACCCTCTTAGAGCCTGGATGAGGCTCACGCCAGGCTAGTAATCTTCATCTTATCTTATCTTATCCTTTACTATGTTAATCACTAACCAGTCTCTGGTATTCTCCGAAGAAGCCGAACCCGAATTTAATTTTCGGTCGATTATAACGACGCACGACCCGACAATACAAGTAGATAAGACAACCCTGCCACCAGATATGTCTATCAAGTCAATCGTCCGACATGCATGTCCTAATGCCATCTATATCACGGCACAATGCCCAGGAACCGCAAATTAACAATATGCGGCGACTAGAGGATGAGGAAGAATAGTAGTTACCAGATACTTTATTATATCCAAAGGGCCACTTTTAAAATGGTTTACTATTAGATTATGATCTTAAAGTGTAATATTGGCTATTTAGCTATTAATTATTGAGCTTTTTACTCTCCTGCTAACCACGTCCAAATCACAATCTCATACCAGTTACTTGCTATCTTCATCTCTATTAAGCATACTCTGCAGTAGGCGCTATGTGCAGGCCAGCTGGAAAAGATCTGTAACTTGTCATGATGTTTAATGCGGCATTATCACCAGCTTTCCCTCAGCTACTAGTGAGTATGGAGAACCCATTAGTCACTCGCGTTGGCGACGCACGTGGAACAATATCCCTCGGTGCAGGGGTTGACGCAGAGTAAAAAGGGAGGTTAGCCGTATTACGGTTGTTATGGCACGCAGAGTTTGTCAATTTCGCGTTTGTATCTTGGTCGCATTTCCGACAGCTGGTAATGGTTAGCACTGTTACACGTGGGGGGCGCTTTGCATATAAAAGACCCTGAAACATGGAAGACCGACCTTAGGGAGCAATAAAGTAGTTGATGATCGTAAGGGGTAAGTTCCCTGTCGCATGTCATACTAGCGGGCAAAAGTCTTTAGCCGTCTATCCCATTGACATCATTTAAGCTGAGATTGAGGATGTACCAAAAATATGGGAAAATATTCTCATCTTCTGCTGCAAATCCCAGATCCTTCTGCGTTTGTTGAGCTGGGCACTGGGCTATCTTTGAAGGAATATGTTGTCGAATCATTGGGATTGGGATAGATATAGCGTCTAAACGGCGATGGCTAAACTTGGCACGTCGGTGATACATTCAGCATACGATGTATTTAAGAGGATATGGGTATAGTTAACAAGAGCCTCCAAATAATACCATGGGAGGACATCGTGACATGGCTTTTATCTTAAGAGCCCGTGCAGTGCAGCGAAAATCACTTCGAGTAATCCGAGCCATTAGTGGAGATATGCAGAGACCTGACTGACAGCTGAACTATCCTCTTCTCACACCTGAGGGATTTATCCCTGGACCAACTCTCAATTTTTACAACTCAACTAATGAAGTCGAGGCCATTCTTCGCAAGGGTATCATCTCCGCACAAGGCAAGGCACATCGTTATGGCCGACGTCAAAGCTCCTCGGGATCACAGAATAAGCCGCTTAGCCCCACAAATATTCCAAGCTTTCACGATTCCCTGCTTAACATGTAAGGAGGGGGGGGGGG